TTATAATTAACTTCATTATTTTATTATGCATAATTTATTGTTCAATATTTATAACATATGAATATTGAAAAAAAAAAATTATTCCAAAACCATTATTATTTCATATATTTGATTTAATTAGCATAATTTTTGCATTTTATTTGCATATATCTTAAGTAAATTATTAATTTAAAATTTATATATAAATATTGCTACAAACGAATAAGTTCCATTAATTTTTAATATTTTATTATTTTAGAATTATGTAAAATTTTTTTTAGTGTAAAATTTGCTTATTTTATTGAATTTAAATAAAGTTTGTTTAAATAAAAAAATTTTATTTTGTTTTCATTTTTTATTACATACGCATATATACATATATTTATATATTATTTTATACAACAAAAGCAGCATTTTTTATTAAAATTAAAATCGACTGATATTAAAAATATTTGCACGATAGTTTTTTTATGGCATGTACAATATACTAAAGGACTAAATTCTATCTGAATTAAAATTATATAAATAAATAAATAATTACATGAGATTATTAAATAATTAAATATAATTTAATATGAAAAAACTCAACATATTTGATTCGAAACTGTGTTAGATAGTAATTGTACAATCTATAATAATTTTATGTTTTTTTTTATTTAAAATATAAAATATAATAGACACCATCCTTCCAATTAGAATATAGCTCAGTGTTTTTTTTACCTTAAACGTCGGATAAGACTCAAACGATGCCAAACATGTTCTAATAAGCACCATCCTTCACGTGATATGCAAGACACTATTCATTTTTATAATATCTGTCAAGAAGGGTTTCTAAAAATAGTTGCTCTTAGTTATACAAGTTAAACAACTAATGAATCCGAAGTGTAAACTATTACCCTATATTTCCAAGTGTTTTTATCGGCACCATCCTTGTGGGTAATATATAAATCACTGTTTTTCCCAAATTCTGAAAAAACAGTTGCATAAAGTAGCAGCTTATTACGAGCATTACGAGTTGAGTGCTCAACGGAACTGAAATATATTGAGCTATCCCTAGAACTCAGAAGCCCTGAACTCCATCATCCTACCAAGTAATATATTTTACATTGTACTTTTTCTTAATTTCGTCAAAAAGAATTTTGCGATTTAGCCAGGCTCTCTACCAGGCTCCTATTTCTGGAGCCTACTAGGCGCTAGTCAGCATACAATTTCCTGCATTATTGGATGTAGATAGTATACAAAGTTTTTAAACTGGCTACACTTCGCCTGTGTGAGCGAAGTATCCAACGGTCCAAAATCCACTGAGTTTTATTCTTAACACTAAGATTGCTGCTAAATAAATCACAATTAACGCTTGTGAAGTTTTCGCAGGTACCGTTTCGTATATTTAAGGTCAACTATTCTCTAATAAATCTATCAAACGTTTTCTGCTTAAGTTTTCGATCATTATTAATAGTTAAAAATATTAAATAGTTTTGAATATTTAAAATTCTAATGTATTATAAATTACTTTATGAATTATGAGAAGTACCCCACGTGTTTCGTCATATTCCTATTATTAGCAGCTGTATATTATGTATACTGTTATTATATTATTTATTTTGAGTGTCCCTTATGCTTCTACATTGATATTATTTACAGTTTCTAGTATTAAGTTTGTTTTTTATATATATGGAGTATCCCAAATATTTCTACATCCATATTTTAAACAATTGCTCCTGATAACATAGAGCAGTTAAAAGATTGCAAAGTCAGGCTCTTCGAAGACTCAGCAAAGTGCCTTGTTATATCCGCACAAATGACATGCTAAGAGCCCTTAGAATAGACCTGGTCAAAATATACATAAGGAATAGAGCCCTGAAGTTATTCGCGAAAACCGACAGGCTGCCTTACTAATCTAATCTAATCTCAGAATAATCTCTAGCTACACGGGACGGTACGCTAATCTTAGTTCACTCATTGAATAATCACAAAACTTTTGAGGAATACATAAATTAGTCAGTGAGAAGGGTGGGACTCTGCAGAAACCCCCCAGCTATCAAAGTGTAAAAGTGTCCAGATGCACTTACTCGTAAAAGACTAAACATGAATTATTGTAAATTCATTAGTTTGTGACAAAATGCTAATTAGTTCTACAAAATCATAAACTAACATATAAGGAGGCTATTACATTATTTCATGCATGACATAAATAGCATGCGATAATAAAACTATCATGCAATAACTACAAATATCAGTCGTTAATAAACATAGAAACAGAGCTTGAAAAAAAATAAAAGTAAATAAAACAAAATTTAATATAAAAACATTTTCGGAAGGTTAAAAGAAAATAGCACTGAAATTTATATAAGAAAATTGAAGCTAAAAATTAATTGACAATTGTGAAAATAAATTATTTTACACGCAAAAACAAAAATTAAAAATGAAATAATCTATAAAAAAATTATATAAAATAAAATAAACTAAAATATATAATTAAAATATTAATCATCAAAAACTATATTTAGTTGATATAACAGAATATAACAGAATATTATATAATTTCAAGATATGTTTGCGAATTATTAAAATAAAATGAAAATAAATTTTTAAAAAAATATGCACATAAAATTACAACAAAAACAACAACTTCAAGAAAATGCAGTACTACACAAACTTATAACTGGAAATTTGATAGAAGAAAAAGAAATATATATACATATATGTATATTTATTAAAAACTTAAAAAATAAATCTTATAAAAGTTGACTAAAATTCACTTACACACATTTTTTAGGCCAAGCAACAAAAAATTGTTTTTTTTTTATATATAAACAATTGAGTTGTCAACAAAATTGTTTAAAAAATTTACCACAAAGAAAAGTTAAAGATAAATTATTAATAAAGAAATGCATATCATAGTTGTAAAAAAAATGATACAAATAAACATTTTAATAGTATTAACAAAACACAAAGAAAAAAATAAACAAATGAGAAACAAAATTCGTTTTAAAATAATTTACTTACATTTTTCAAGCAGTCCGAAGAACCGCAAAATATTTCTTTATAAAAATCTGTACCACATTAGAGAACCCGGAAAAATGCTGTAAAAAGAAAATTTTTTTCAAAAATAGTACTAAAAAAATACCGAAAGTATGAAAAGTTTATAACTGTAAATGCGCAAATGCTGCGCACCCATTGAAAACGTAACCGAAAAAAATGAAGTCAATAAAAAAAATTAATACGAAAAAAATATTTGTTTTTTTTTCTTTTAACAATATTAACAATTTTTTGCAGTGTATTTCTAACGATAAAGCTGACTAAAGTGGTAAGAAATAAATAACACACATATATCGGTATTGCTCTTATGAATATATATGTAAACTAACGTTTAGAACTCAACACTAGAAAAATAATGAAGTAAATGATCAATTAGGTTTAGATTTTTTCCTACAAAAATTTAGACATATAATTTTATAGTCAATATATACGCTTGGTTCCCCTTTTAAGAATAGGGAAGTGTTAGCGATGAAGGCAAACAATTGTTCTCATTATAACTCTTAGTGCTATTCTTGATAAACTTATTTTAGTCCTTTAGATAAAGTTAAGAAAATCAGATAATTTTGTCTTCAATATGTCTGACAGACCAGTGAAGAAATTATTTCCTAGACATTAAAGTGCTTTCGTCTGTAGTCCTGGACAACAGACCCGTGCTTAATGGTAAAGAGAATTATTACAAAAATTAAGTTTTAGATTAAGTTAAAAACATCAGATAAATCTACAGACTTTAATGTTTAGGAAATAGTTTCTTCACTGATCTGTCAGAGATATTGAAAGCAGAATATCTCTGACAGACCAATAAAGAAATTATTTATTAGACATTAAAGTGGTTTCGTCTGTAGTCCTAGATAAGAAACCCGTGGTTAATAGTAGAGAAAATTACTACAAAAACTAAGTTTTAGATTAAGTTAAAAACATCAGATAAATCTACAGACTTCAATATTTAGGAAATAGTTTCCTCACTGGTCTGTCAAAGATATTGAAAGCACAATATCTCTGACAGACCAGTGAAGCAATTATTTCCTAGATATTGAAGTTTGTAGACTTGGATAAAAGATCAGTGGTTAATAACGCAGAAAATTGTAACAAAAATTAATTTCTTGAGTTTACCATACAGTTTTCTCTAATGTTAGCAAATGTCCATCATCATCAGTGACCCAAACAAATATTAATTGGTTGTAATTATGTGTATGGACATTTTTGTATGGATTTCATATACCAATCTTGCTGTGCGTTAGGCTGGAAGCTTCAGGTATCAAACCTGATTTATTATAATATTAATTTATTATTAATATTGAATATTTATTTAATTACATTGAAAACATTTTCATGGCTTTCGTCTGTTGGTTATTATTTTTAAAATATTTTGATAAATAAATAATAAAATATTAATGTAGATTAGACTATAACGAGCTTTTTATTATATTAATAATAGCCAAATTTGATTTCAATTAAGAACATCTTAAAGTATATTGAGTAGATCTTATATAGAAGTGCGATTATAGAAGAGAATGGAATAAGGGGAAAACCAATGTTATTTCTAAACGTTAGTTTACTAAAAAAATAAAAACTATTTAAAACTCCACTTCGCTTATTAGCACGTCTAATGCTTACAAACAATTCTCCAAATCTAGTTCTACTTTATAAACGTATTGTATATACCTTGTATATAGTATTCTAGCTCTTAGATAAAAATAGAAACAAATATGCATACTAGAATATACATTATCGTAAGAGTTTATCAAAAAAAAAAAAACATGAGACCATTTTGATTTTTTTTTTCTTTTAAACTAATTAGTTTTAAAAATTAATTTTTGTATATGTAATATGTACAGTCAATACATTTTATGTAAGCAATTTAGTATTAAAAGATAATAAATAGTATAATATATACAATGTATAAGAAGTAAATTTTTTTAGCTCATAGTAGTCAATATATTTCTAATATATAATTATGTTATGAGAATGTCAATTTTTAAAACATTAATTGATGTATTTACTGCTTGTAGAATGCTTTTATTGTAGTTAATAGTAGTTAATTTAGAAATTCTTAATTAAATATTATTTTAGCAATAAAAGTAATTTTCTACTTTGTTTTATTTTTTTTCATTAAAGTTTTTACGCAACTTTAGCTCTTCTTTGGGTGCTGTTATGACAGGTAGTGGAGCCGCCGCTGCTGCTGCGGCAGCAGCAACAGCAACACGTTGTCCATCACCGTTTGTGTTTCCATTTAATCCACTCGGTTTAGGTCTATTCGATATTGATCCGTCCAGAATATTAAGTATGCTGCATCATCAGACATGGTTGGCTGAAGAGGCTTTAAGGTAAGACTTCGAGGAGTATACTAATATACATACGTATATATTAATGATAACCAATGATATAAATTGTTATTATACTAGTATGTATTAATTTATATAAATATATTTATATACATATATTAATATTATTTTAAATATCAAATACTTCATGGTACTTTTTAAAGAACATTTTCGCAATATTTCGTATAAAGCTCGTGGCCTATCCATCAGATCGTTTTTCCAATATTTCTTATAAAGCTTGTAACCTATCATTACAATCCCATCAGCATTTCCATTTTCTGATCTCATATTCAATTGTTGTTGGAAATGGTTCTTGACATTATAAATACGACCTATGCACTTTTTGATTAATGAGTTTTGAGGAATTCCAGTTCTCGAACACGATGAGCAGAATTGTCTTGAATGTTGTATTTAAGATTTTTACTTTTCGACGCATAAGAAAGTATACGAGAACCAAGTCCAAAGAGGTTATCACAGTATTTAAAAAATGCTAGAATAATATCGTATTACTGTCATATATAAAACACCTCTTTTTTTAAATAGCCAAAATAAAATTCATCAAACAACTAATAAGATCAACTAGAATTAAATATCTACTTAATATCTACTTTTTCATCCAAATTTCAAACGTGCATACTTAATTATAGACTATATAAAACAGATGTAAAGCATCTTTTATATATTTCTTACAGTTATGTCAAGAATTACCAAAGGGAATATTTTGTTGCCTTTACAAACCTACCGTAAAGGTTATAGTTCTACATGGCATCTCAATAAGATCGCTAAATATTTTTTGGTAGTTCTTTTCAAGCTAGGCTCGGCCTACCCTGTAGTATCTTCTGCAATGCGTGTTTACCGGCTCTCGAAGAAATGACAGCAGAACACTTGTTATGTTTATGTCCATGCTTGGCCAGAACTAGGCTCAAGTTTTCGAAGACTCCCTTCTTAAGCACACTCAGCGATATCTCCAGCATTAGCATTGGCCAGACTCTCGCCTTTATAAATGTCTCTGGCTAGTTTTAGCCTCATCATCTTCTACCCATTACGAAGATTTGTCGATTCAACACGGTTTTATTAGTTAATTGAGGAGGATTCGTTCCTCTCTTTATCTCAAGCAACCAAATTTGCATATTTTGCTAGTTTGTATAATGGTAAATAGATCTATTTAATAAATATATTAACTTTTATTTCTGAAAGTTTAAACATTTTTTGTTATTGTTGTGATTTGAGTTGGTGCTATTGCGCATTTTTACTCTTTTGTAGCTGGGAGGCTTATCACTGCCCTACACTAAACTTTAACTATACTAGAATTATTATCATTTATTTATCTTCTAACTGATGACGGACCGTAAATCAGCATATCCTCCTGTGCGTCCTGAGGTGGACTTAAGATTTGTTAGGGCGGGGTTGAACAATGTTTCAACTTTTGTGAATAATTTTAGGGCTCTGTCCTTGATATATTTTTTCACTGATTCAATTCTTAGATCTCTATGCATGTCTGTTGTTCTAATATACTTTATTTTGACACAATAAATATTCTACCATAACTGAGTAGGAAAAAATTTTAATATTTGAATGGGATATATAATATCATAAATTTTATGTGTAGTATATATTTCTCTTCGTAAAAACTTAAATAAAAATTTTAAAATATATTTCAAAAAATTCTAAACCTTAATCCCTGAAATATAAAATTCCAAGTCAATAAACGGATTTAAATTACTGCATATATCTTTATACTTAACTATGGATGCAACCGAAAACTGTACAAATATTAAACTACCCAAAGCTGGGTCTCAGATGTGTTTTCAAAAGTGGGTAGAAAAAATAGCACAACAAATTTCAATTAAAAATCTTGTTATTTACATATATCCACTCGTAAATCAAAAACATTATATAGTCACTGCAGTGGATAGAAAAAGCAATCAAAAATTCGATGTTAAAAAGTTGAACGAGAGTGAGATGAAGGAACTGTCTAACTCATGTTTGTTTCATGGATGCTGTACAATCAGTTCAGATCGTAGAATACGCAGTAAAATTGGGATAAGCGAAGCCAGTACTGGACTTAGCAGATATAGCAACTACTACGATCAAATGATATTAAAAAAAAACTTAAAAGCATGGTTGTTGGAAAAAAAGGACATTATTTCTGGAGTTGTAGACTTTGTTAACATTATGGAAAATATGGAAAAAGACTTTAGCACACAACAAATGAAAAAGTTCCTCTATTATGTAAATAAATATCAATTTACATTAAATATGCCAGAGGAACTATCTACCGATTCTGAATTCAAGCTAGATCATCAACAATACTCAAGTTTAATCCATTCTCCTTTTGTAGCAGATCTGCATGGTTCCGCAAATATAAGACTTGAAACAGTAAAAATAATTTTAAAGCATTTTGGCAAGTATAACCAAATGAGACTTTTGGGCATCACTGCTGCCTTTTGTTTAACCCCGAAAACAGTCACGTTCAGAGATACAATTTCTTATTCATTGGGTTATAAAACATTAAAGGACTCTTTCAAGGATATAACGTTCACTCTTTATGAGCTCTGGAAGATATTTCAATGGAACGATTTCGAAAAGAATTTGCAAATTCGAAGTTGAAACGAAATGACAAATACATTAATCTTAAATATATTTTTGCGAAAAGTTTGGTATATTTTAGTAAAAGAAAATTTCGCAAAAAATATAAATTTATTTATATTTGAACAACGTTAAAGAATTTTTAATTTTTAATTTAATATTAACGGATTTTACGCAATAGTAAATTAATCAGAACTTCGCATAATGGAAAATTAAAAGTATATTAAAGTATTTTAAGGTATATTAAACCAAGAACGATTGCTGTTAGAATCAATTTCAATTTGAAGGATCCAGCTTCCTCTGAATTGTTCCCGCTAAAGTTCCAGGGTAGAAACGATCTGGCACGTGAGAGGGACTGTTTTAGTCCGTGTAAATCGCGCATACCACTATTGTGACGAAATAGTGAGGATACGTTAGACATTTTTAAACCTCCTCTCCATACACATAAAAATTGAGAGAGAGTTTACAGAGTTATTTGTTTAAACTGTTGTATAATTTTCTGTAAAACCATTTGAATTTAAGAGAATAAGGTTTGCATATAGTACCAGAAGATATAGTAGCATACACAAAACGAGAAACGCATTTTAGTCATTCCAATAATGTTCAAATATATTTTTGTTGTTTATAAAAGTTAATCAAATATTTTTAATTCTTAATGTAGTAATTCAAAGAGTTTTTTAAGTATAAGCTATTTAATGTGAACATATTCAATATCGTCCCCTTTGCTTTAAGAAAATGTAAATTATTAACAATTATAATTTACAATAATTATTATAATTTTTATTATATATTAAATATATATTATTTATTTATTCTTTAACGTAAGAAAATGTCATTCATTCTAAACTCAACTAATCCATATTATGCATATTTTCTATAATTATTTTTTTTAGAAATCGTGGTTTTCTTACACCACCGAAAGATATAACCCACCGTTTTAATCCATTGAATGATTTACTTTCCAAAGAATATCAACAAAATCATTTGAACTTACCAACTACAAATGATCTACTTGGAGGTGCTTCGACCTCAGCATTAGCTAAGCATCATCAACAACAACAGCAACAACATCGCTCTAATGTGCAACAACAGCAACAGTACAAACAGCAGCAGCAACAACAGCATGGCACACACTTTAATATGCGCTATCCATCGCCAGCTTTGTTCTTTCATCACCAACATCACCAACAACAGCAACAATCGCAACAGCATCACCTACAAAAACATAATAAAGCACGTCAGAGCACACCATCACCACACCAAACTGCCACAAACTCAACTCAATCGAGTCGAGATTCTTTACTTGAAGAACTCAAACGAAAATCTGAGGCATCCCTACAACGTGACGAAGATGATGTTGCATTATGTGATTTGTCTTCACATAACGAGACCGATTCCGGTCGTGAAAGTGGCAGCAATATAACAAATACTACCTCTACATCGAGCGCTACAGCTGCAACAGCAATGCTCTACAAAGATTCATTAGAACAGCTGTTACAACGTCGACGCTCTAGCTCATCATTAGGTGATATGGCTACACCCAGCACAGTAGTTTCGCGAGCCACTTCTACTCCATACACACAGCAATTACCGCTCTCCAACACACCAGGCTGTGCAGATAATATCAGCTGCAAAGAGAAAAGCTCCTCATCGTCTACCTCATCGACACCACCACCAACTTCGACACTACTAGCACAGCATCAACAACTTAGTCAAATGTTGAAAAGTCCTTCGGAATCTTCGCTTTTTAGTGAACCCATCGAAGAAGAAACACGCTGCGTAGTGTGCAATGCACATTTTCCGAATGTATGGCTTTTGGAACAGCATGCGGCACTACAACATCCACATATTGGTCCTGGTGAAGAGAAACCATTTATTTGTGAGCAATGCGGGCAATCGTACCGTTATCGCTCGGCTTATGCCAAGCATAAAGAACAAAATCATCGTGCGCGTTTACCGGCGGATAAGCTTTTTACCTGCGACGTGTGCGGCATGCAATTTCGTTATTTGAAATCTTTCAAGAAGCATCGTCTGAACCACGCACTCGAACGTTTACACGGCAAGAAGGGAAAGCATATTGGCTTACATAACGTACAACTCGAACAAGATATAGTAAATAATTCTCAAGAATTGGCAGCCGATGAGGGTGGCGAAGATTTGCGTATAAATATCAAACGTGAACCGGAAGAAGACGAACGCGAAACAGAGCAAGAACATATTGTGGATGCAACTGGTGCTGTACACTTTAATGAAAATAATGTGGCAGCAACTAGTTTAGCTAATTCAGCGGAACGTGACATGGATGCAACTCATAGTACAAATAAGAGGGTAAGTAGTAACCAAAATGAGCTGCTGACTAAAAGCCCTTAATCTTGCCGAAGTATTTATCTTGATATTTAAAAATGCAAAAAATATATTTTTTTTATAAAAATTCTAATTACTGCTCTTATAGCCTCGCCTACTTACAACCACACACTTGGATACCGAACCTCCCCATTATACTTATTTACAACAACAACAATTGCCACCACATCTACATGCAGTAGCAGCTGCAGCCGCTGCACAATCAGTTGCATCACCAGCAACTCATACGCATCCAATACCTGTTGCAGCGACCGCAATGAACTCTTTAAGTTCACTGAATTCCATTACATCGCTCATCAATGCCGAACGCATACCAAGCGAACAATTCTTAGGCCTTAATCCACAAGAAGCGTCAATTCTTAATTTCTTACGAGTTGATGCAGCTGAACGGCAACGTGATAAGCGGTAAGTCAAATCAATTAATATAGAAAAGAATAGAAGTAATAATAAAAGTAATCCATTTGCATATTGTCTAGACCACAAACCTCACGTTTCGCTTGTCCCTTCTGTGGAAAATGCGTGCGCTCTAAAGAGAATCTAAAACTGCATGTACGCAAGCACACCGGTGAACGTCCATTCGTATGTCTTTTCTGTGGACGTGCTTTCGGTGGTAAATCTGATCTTACACGTCATTTACGCATACATACCGGTGAACGTCCCTACCACTGCGAATCCTGTGGTAAATGTTTTGCGCGAGCCGATTATCTCTCAAAACATTTAACCACTCACATACACAACGCACCACGCTGAGATGAGGCGCGAAGGAGAAGACTCCTTCGCAGATAATTTAATTAAACTCAATTTTAATTAATAAAAAAACTGAAAAATGTATATATATATACAATATATAACGTGAGTCAGAATGTAGTTAAAAATATATATGCGAATATACGAAATGATAAAAGTAACATTATTATATACTCACACGTACACATTTATAACACACATACAAGTAACAAATACGTACACACACTAAACACCTACTTAAGAGGCATAAAATACAGGAATCTTAAAAAGCTATTTTAATTACAAACAAATTTTAATTATTAATTAATAATTAATTTTAGTTTAGTCAAGGAATGAGGAAATGAAAACGAAAGAGAGGGAGATATAATTTGTATGGTAGTTCTATTAGTTACATTATTGGAATGGAGGGTATAGGAACAGATTTTTAAAATTTAGATTTAATAAGAATTATTTTCGTATTTTTAGAGAACAAAAAGATTTAAAAGAAATATTAAGTGTTCATTAATAATATTTAAATATTTATCATATAAATAATTTTTTAAGTTATTTTTAAGAAATATAGAAATTTTTAGTTGACAAAATGTACTATATATACCGAGCACATGACTTCAACTTTGAAAAGTTAGTGTTATTCCGTAGATAAAAGAAAGTAATAAATGCAAGGGAAAAAACATATTCATCAGTATTGATACTGTTCACTATATTAGGAGCTCAAAAAGTATAAGAAAAATATATTTGAAGGAGGCTATTAAAAATGGATTTCATCCAATTAAAAATTACTGCTATTAAGTTGTGGATGACACAAAATTTCGGGTTCGCATGAAGTGGAATATTCATGGAACTACCATAAAAATAATATCATAAAAGTCTTCAAAACTTTTTTTGAAAATTAAAAGTTTGTCCGACAACTATGTATATTTCAAGCAAGTATTTCTAAACACTTTAAGTTCCAACATCCATGTAGTTGTTGTCCATTGTTGTATAGTCCTTTTTGGAATTATCGTCCTATCGCCCTTTTTGTGGCGATAAGCACTTGGCCATCGAACTTGACGAGAAACTCCGGCACGTAAAACATCCATTTAAATTAGTAGTGACGTTTTTCATTTCAAAGAAAATGTTCTGATAATTATATCCACATATTGAAAAGATATCTTAGACATGGGGTATTAAAGCCCATTAAAGATTATTTTGAATTAACAATAATTTTTTACATTTAAAACAAATTCTTTCTTGAATTTTATTCACAGCCTTGCTGTAGCACAAAATTCTAAGATCTATAAAAGTTTTTTTAATTGTAGTGATTTTTTATATATTAATAAAATTTTTATTGACATTTGATTTGTGTCTCTAACAAGCCTCGCTTAAGACCCGTTCGTTTTAATTTGTAGTGACTTTTCATATTTAAAGACAATTCTTTATACATGTAGAGACTTATATATAAGACTCTAATAAGTATCGCTAAAGATCCAGATGTTATGTAGATGTTATGTTATGTAGATGATCTATGGAAAATATTGTCAAAGTTCCATAAATGATTCTTTTGAATTAGTAGTTAGTTTTTCAATTTTTGAGAAATTTTCACTACAATTCGATCTTTGTCTCTAAGAAGCATCGCTAAGACCCAGACCTAAATATTCGAAATGTTTTTGACATACACAATATTGTTGATTAAAATTATAATCTATATATAATCTATATATAAACTATATATAATCGTACTTAACAAAAGTTCATGTGCTTCGTACGTACTCTTCTGTTAACTAAAAATTCATTTCATTATGTAGATTATAGTTCGTTATCCTTTATTGTTGGTATAATTGTTCTCTCAAATCTTGGAATAATTTTTATTAATGTTTTTATATAAATAGTTTTAGTTTTGATATATTAAAATTTTTTGGTGCTGGTTTTTGTTTGCATAAATTTTAATTTTATAGAATTTATTTTTATTTTGGAAGTAGAAAATCTAATAAAAAATTCAAAAGTATTTTAAAAAATGTCACAGTTGAGAGTTTTTTTTTGGAATGGAATAGATTAAAGAAAAAATATTAAATAATATTAATAGGAGTAGCACAGAGACAACAACAAAAACAGTGAACACTAAGAACAGCAACAATTTTGGTTTCAGTAACAAGGCAATGAATTATTTATATAAGAACTTATATGCAATATAAACAAAATTGCATATACTACATACAAATATAAAGATATATCTTTATGTAAAACACAAAAAAAAAATAAGTATTAATATTCAAGAAACTTACAGAAACTATTTTACAAAAGTATTTTTAACTTAAACAATATAAAAACTAAATTTTTTATTTAATTTTTATTTTAATCATTTAAATAACAACAAACAAACTGCTTATGTACAATAAAAACAACAACAACAAATAAAATATGAATAACAATAATCAAAAAATTAAAAATCAAAATAACAATAGAAAATATTATTATTATTATTATATATTTTATTTAAATATTTATGTAATATTTTTTATACACTCAAACAGTTACAATTTTTATGCAATATTTTTTATAATTATATTAAGTAAAAATAATATAAAATCTGTACAATTTTTTAAAAATATTAAAGCTGCAATATTTATTGTTACTATTTAAACTATTTACAACAAACAACTGCAATAACAAAAACAACAATATAATTAGTTTTTTAATATATTAGCAAATTTTAATACAAAAAAAACCAATAGCAAATACTTATATAAAAATAGTTATTTTATATTAATTATATAATTTAAATTAACTTTTAAAAAAAGTTATAAAACAATCTAAGAAAAATGTCTTTTTTATTTATACTATATATATATATACAAATAGTTAAAATAATTAAAAATATTTTAAACAAACAACCACCGTCAATAGCTAATTTTACTACAAAAACAGTTTTACAGAACAATAGATTAATTATATATAAACTGCAACAAACAATAAATAACTGTGATGCAAATAAAAATAAAACATATATATTAATACGATAAAAAAAACTATAACAAAAACAACAAAACAATAGCAAATTTTTATAATAAATTTATTTACATTCTTATATATAAGTTTAAAATAAAACAATACATAGTTAATTTTAATTTACTAAACAATATAAAGCAAATAGTGGTGAATTTTATTAAGGATCTTGATGAATTTCTTATGTTTTTAAAATAAAAAATCATTCTGGCACTAACAACAGTAATACTTAATTAAATTAATTATCTAATTCGTAAAAAAAAAACAAAGTAAACATATGTAAATAAAGTGTTTTTTACATATATGTACTTATTGGTTATCTGTGACATTATAAAAAAATTCTCCAATGGCATTAATTTAATATTGATTATATGTTTTTAAGAATCTTAAACATTATATATAAAAGACTATATATTTCTTTTTACAAATAAACAATAAAATCAATATTTTATTAGCAAAGGAGAAAAGTTTTTTATATAATGATAAAGGCGATAATTGAAGTGAACTGGATATATGTAGTATATCATAGATTATTATTTTTCACATTAAATGTAAACAACAAAATTAATAAGTATATATTATTTTTGTTTTATTCTTTTTGTTAATTTTTCCTATTTTTTTTTCTCAAATATATAAATATTAAAATTTTTATATAACGCTGTCATTCAATCCATAAAAAAATTCAATAATGCCAAACGATATATGCAAACTTAATTTTGAAATAAAATAATAAATTTGAAATAAAAAATAAATAAATACCATAAGCATTTTGTTTATAAAATGTGGTTAATATCTGTTTTATATATAAATACAAACAAAAATATTTGTTAATCATCAAGATTCTTAATATATATTTTTTTAAACTAAAATTGGTTAGTGATAATTTTATAATTTAATTTTTATCTTTATTTTTTTTTTTAATTAAAAAACAAATAATTTAACTACAATATATACATACATAAAAAACAATATTAAAAATAATAAAAAAAACAAAAACAAACAACATTGAACCAAGAACATCGAATTAAAACTATAAATAGTAGTTTCAGTAAGAATAAATAAAAATATAAGTAATAATTAAATTTATATAAGCTACTTAACACAAATAAAGTGAAAAACAAATATTTTTAAACAATAAATTTTTATTAAAACAGACAAAAAAAATATTTACTACAATTGTAAAGCATTCAACAAAACAAAATATTAAAATTAATAAAAAACTAGCAAAATAATTTCTTAAACAATTTTGCCGTACCAATGAAGTTAAAATAAATTTAATAATATTAAATATTAAGCAAAGCATAAAGTAAAATTAATAGTAAAAATAAAAATAAAACATTGCGAAAAGAAGAAAGATAAAGAATAAAACTTTCACTGTGCCAAAAAATATGAAGTACCTCATAACTTATAATATAATAATATAAAAGAAATTAAGTAAAATTAAATAAACTATTAATTACAGTTTAAAACAGGTTTAATATGGTAATTTATTAAAACTTAAAAAAACAGCAGAAAGTCAATAAATATTAAATAACATATATATTTTTAAAAGACAAAAATTTAATTTTAAACACAAAATTTCTAAAACAAGATGCAGCTAAATTAATATAATTAATTAAAGTTGACATTTTAAATTATTTGATTAATTTCAAATTTTTTACATATTCTATATTTTAAAATATTTTTATAATTAAAAAATTTTATCATAAACTTTAACTTTTATTTAAATTTTATAATGAACTTTAAAATTTTAATTGTTAGATAAATTTTCAATTTTATTTTAATATAAGAATTTTTAAAAAATTTTTATATTTTTTTTTATAAATATTAAATTTTATTATGAACTCTAAAATTTTTTTTTCATTTTTTTTATTTTAAATTTAAATTTTTAAATAAATATTAAATTTTTTTTTAAATTTTAAATTTTTTTCAAAAATACTGAACTTTATAATAAATTATACACTTCTTTATTGATTTTAAATATATTGGTTTCATAATTTTACCATTTTTTAAAAGATTTTCTTTTTTCTTGGTATATTCTGAATTTTGGAAATATTATTCATAAATTTTTATATATAAAATAATTTTAGTTCTTAAACAATTTTTTAATATTAAACATTTTTTTCTGTTAATATTTAATATAAAAAAATTTCTTGAATAGTGTTTTTTAAACTAAATTAAGGAAATATTTTACGGGCAATATTTTTATTATTAATTTATTTTATGATTTATTTATTCACTTTCATTTATTTATTTTTTTTTTTTTTATTTAAAAGGAAAGTAAAAGAAATATTAAATGTTCTTTTTATTCAAATAAGTGTTCAATGTCGTTATGTGATACTTAAAATTATATATTTGTATTACACTTTTCTTATATGTATAATTTACATTTGTTTAAATCACTATTATATCTATATATGTTCACAATTTCTTTTCTAGAAAAATATATTTCTATATATCTTGCCTAACCAA